AGCTGGGACCAGGTTGTGGCCCCCAGGTGCACCTAGTGCACCTAGCTGAGGATGAGGAGACCGCTCGTGGGAGCAGAGTACAATGGGAGAAGGCAAACGGAATCCGATAGGCAAGCCGAGGTCAGGACAGGGGGAAAACAAGCGAGGTCAGAGAATGAAGCCGGGGTCGGCTCCTTTGTGAAGACTTTGTGAAGACTTTTGGATGTATAATTACGTTTCCAGGCAAAACTTAGAGTTTTAGATATTTATGGTGTTATATCTTGTACACAGAGTATCATTTTTTTCAGATATTTACTCTCTTTTCTTGTTGATTTTGATTAAATGTACCGGGAAAACGTTCCCATTTACATTGTATTTTGAAACGGAATGAATTTGAGGATGATGCTACATAAAAATTCATATGTCCATGAAGTCCATGAGGGACTCTAGGCCTCCATGGGAAGTCCAGGATGGACTAATGCCCCATACACACCATGACAATATTGGACAAATGATCGCCCGTTTTTTGTTTTTTTTTTTTGCCTGCTAGTCTCATATCAAAAGTGAAAAGGTTGCTATAATTCCGAAAATTCTTGTACGACAGAAAGAAAATCCGGAAGTGATTTCATGTATTTGTATTGTATTTTCAGATGAAAACCGTACTGACATCTTCCTTTCCCCTTTCACTCCCAAATGGAAGAAAAATATATTTTAAATATATTTTTAAATATTCTTCCCAAATATATTGACATATATTTGAAAATTTGTACGTATTCAATATATTTGAAAAAAAAAAAAAAATTATATATATATATTATATGTTGAAATGTGTTTTTTTATATATTACAAGCAATATGAAAACAATTTTTTTACAATATATATTTTTTAAATATACTCTTCAGATTTTTTTTAACATATAAAAAAGTCATTTTAACATATGTTTTTTACATATATTTGTAAACTTATTACAAAAATGTAGATTAAATGTATTTTTAAAGACATACAGTATATTTTAAAATATTTCTTATATATTTTGTAATATATAACAAAAGCAGTTCAAACAATATATATATATATATATTATATATATATATATACATATATTATTATATAATATATATTTCCTCTGGATCAACTGTGGTGTCGGATTATAACTTTTTTTATTTTTAATGGTTGAACTGGATGGACTTTTGTCTTTTTTCAGCCAGACTAACTATGTAACTATGAATACGGCCAAAATTGTAGTATTTAAAATATATTTTTCTTCCATGTGGGCTGCCAAACCCATTTTTGCATTTTTTTTTAACCTGACATTTCAAAAAATCATTTTAGTCCTGAAGATTAGTTAAAACCCCCAAACATTTGCATTTTTTTTTTGTGTCAAAATGTTTTTTTTGAGCAACAGTTCATCAAGCGTATAGTTTAGTGAAAAAATACGCTAAAGTTAAACGTGGGGGTCACAAACATGCAACATATTAATCAATTTTTGTTAGAATATAAAGGATGAGGTTGTGCTGAGTAAATAGATACCCAACATGTCCAGCTTGAAAACAATGTTTAGTACCCATATTCTCCATATAGGCGATGCTTTAAAAAGCCCCCACAGGGTAACACTTTACAGTTAGCCATGAATAATGGGCCCAGAATGATTGCTTTCACTCTCACATGCGTGCTGATATGTAACATGTGTAGCGCAAGCAACACTTTCATATGTAGGAGCCCCGGATGGGTGTGTCTATATTCATTTGAGAGCGTAAATGGGGGCGGGGGTCAGTTTTGGGGGGCGGTTCTTAGTGCTTGGGTGTAGCTTTATTTTTTGACACTTGTTTTTCACTAAATCTTTATTTTTAAACTTTATATCACATAGGGACAAAAAAGACAAAAAAGTCCCGTGAGATATAATTTCTTCACACTCCATTAGCTTCTTCCCTGTCCGCAAAAACAGAACGTACATTATCGAAAAGACGCTTCTGAATTTTTCATAGCTGGGGGATGTCTATGGGAAGGTTGGACCATTCTTCCAGAAGCACATTTGTCAGGTCAGGCACTGATGTCGGGGGAGGAGGCCTGGCTCGCAGTCTCCGCTCTAATTCATCCCAAAGGTGTTCTATGGGGTTGAGGTCAGGACTCTGTGCAGGACAGTCAAGTTCCTCCACCCCAAACTGGCTCCTCCATGTCTTTATGGACCTTGCACTGGTGAGCAATCATGTTGGAACAGGAAGGGGCCATCCCCAAACTCCTCCCACAAAGTTGGGAGCATGAAATTGTCCAAAATGTTGCCTTCAGAGTTCCCTTCACTGGAACTAGGGGGCCAAGCCCAACCCCTGAAAAACACCCCCACACCATAATCCCCCCTCCACCAAACTTTACACTTGGCACAATGCAGTCAGGCAAGTACCGTTTTCCTGGCCACCACCAAACCCAGACACTTCCATCCGATTGCAAGACAGAGAAGCGTGAATGGTGACTCCTGAGAACACGTCTTCATTGCTCTAGAGTCCAGTGGCGGCATGCTTTACACCAAGGCATCCGACGCTTTGCATTGCACTTGGTGATGGAAGGCTTGGATGCAGCTGCTCGGCCATGGAAACCCATTCCATGAAGCTCTCTACGCACTGTTGTTGGGCTCATCTGAAGGCCACACCAAGTTTGGAGGTCTTTAGCTATTGACTCTGCAGACAGTTGGCGACTTCTGCGCACTGTGCGCTTCAGCATGCGCTGACCCCGCCCTGTCATGTGACGTGGCCTACCACTTGGTGGCTGAGTGGTTGTTGTTCCCAGTGGCTTCCACTTTGTTATAATCCCACTAACAGTTGAGCGTGGAATATTTAGAAGCCAGGAAATGTCCCGGATGGACTTATTGCCCAGGTGGCCACCTATCACGGGACCACGCTTGGAGTCACTGAGCTCCTGAGAGCGACCCATTCTTTCACCAGTGTTTGTAGAAGCCGTCTGCATGCCTAGGGGCTTGATTGTATACACCTGTGTCCATGGAGGGGATTGGGACACCTGAATCACATGATTGGGAGGGGATTGGAGCACCTGAATCACATGATATGGAGGGGATTGGAACACCTGAATCACATGATATGGAGGGGATTGGAACACCTGAATTCACATGATATGGAGGGGATTGGAACACCTGAATCACATGATATGGAGGGGATTGGAACACCTGAATCACATGATATGGAGGGGATTGGAACACCTGAATCACACAATTTGGAGGGGATTGGAACACCTGAATCACATGATTTGGAGGGGGGGGGGGCAATACTTTGGGCAATATAGTGTATTTTGTGCTCCTCCCAGTGGTACTCGTGTTCAGACCATGTGCAATCAGGGACTAATCAATGAGCATACAATCCCTGAGGCTTTACTGGAGGCTCCTAGGGGCCCGAAACGGCCTGTTTTTACCTTGTATGACTTTGAGCAATATAGTGTGTGTATACACATTCATATAGTTACATTGTTACATAGTTAGTCTGGCTGAAAAAAGACAAAAGTCCATCCAGTTCAACCCTTAAAAACAATAAATAAAAGGTAGCGATCCTCCGGCCGCAGTTGATACATCACATACACTTCACCATTAGTCTTGCTGTGAAGTATTTGGACAGTTTGTTGCAGTTTGTCAGCCAACAGACGCTTACATTTGATGCGTCCCGGGGTTCCCATTTACGGCGGCAGATGTCTAGAACAAAGTCAACGCAATAAAGATGGCTACAAACATGGAGTTTTTTTTTTCCTTTTCTCCATTTCAGAATGTGAACAATGCGGCAGCAGATCTGGTTGCAGCAAGCATCACCTTGTCCAAACATCTCCAGTTTTATGGGGTACCAGCTGCAGGTAATATTAAATCTCGGAATCCTCAGCATCCCCTGTTTATGGAGTCAATATTAAATACTGCGTAAAACTCTCAGCGCGCTCGCTTTTCAAGGTTTGATTTCTTAGGGGTTGTAAAATTCTCCTCTCACGGCCGGGGAGAGCTTATAAATTTTATTCCTAAGCAGCGAAAGAAGGTGTCAGCAGCAGACGTCGCGATGGCATCCATCTTTGTCCGCTCTGCATTGGCGCTCCTGGAGACGTTTATGCAAAACCGTATTCTTGGCTTGTCGCGACTTCGGAGTTTGAGGTTTATTAAAGGGACGGAGTCATCCCGGCCTAATATACAATCCGTCATCCCAGGGAAAAAAAAATGAAAATCGCGAGGGCTTTTCATTGGCGATTCTTCTAGTGTATCGGTCTGATCTTCCGTCAGATGGAATCCGTCAAGTCGGCCACTCTAGAGGCCTCGCCATCTCATCGCTTTGCAGCTCTATGAATAAAAATGACTTCTGCCTTTCCCGCAAGAATCAAACCCCATGCAGAAATCATTCATAAAGCCATTCGCAGCAGAAAATGATGATTTACGGGACTTTGCAGACACACTTTTGGACGCGGTTGTGCATTGGAAGGAGCCAAAAGGATGAATAGGATTGTGGAAGCTGATAGCTTTTCCCCGGCTGTCATGGGAAGCTCAGCCAGTAGACAAAGCGCTGCGTCCTGGACAGGTCCATCTATCTTTCACGTGTTGACGGCCATTTACTAGACAACAAAAAGGGAGTCTGTGACAGAGAAAATATTGTTTTATGTCTGATACGGTTAGCTTCAGCCAAGGGGACCTTCCAACGCGGAAAGAACCTCTTCAAAGTCTCTTTATATTGTCCCAGATGAAAAATGGGAAGCGGGATTCAGTCTGCCATACGATGCTCTGACCGCAGAGTGCCGGCACATCGTGTTCTTGGATCATGTCTTTCTGCGGTTTTTATTCAATGTTTTGTCATTATTTAACAAAAAAAAAGAGAGAAGTCCATATTGATGACTAAGTGTCCAGGAAAGACGACTTTGCAGATAAACTGCTCATTTATACTCAGTCTAGAGCAGCCTTTCCCAACCTCTCTACCCCAGAAGAACCCTTGAGATCGTCTTCAGGTCTTGGGGTGCCCCTGATAAAAGCAATTCATTGGGGGCCAGTGGGAAGCATGTCCCTTACATTGGGGGTCAGTGGGAAGAATGTCCCTTACATTGGGGGTCAGTGGGAAGAATGTCCCTTACATTGGGGGTCAGTGGGAAGAATGTCCCTTACATTGGGGGTCAGTGGGAAGAATGTCCCTACATTGGGGGTCAGGGGTCCTTACATTCAGTGGGATCAGTGGGAATGTCCCTTACATTGGGGGTCAGTGGGAAGAATGTCCCTTACATTGGGGGTTGGGGTCAGGGGATCAGGAAGAATGTCCCTTACATTGGGGGTCAGTGGGAAGAATGTCCCTTACATTGGGGGTCAGTGGGAAGAATGTCCCTTACATTGGTGGTCAGTGGGAAGAATGTCCCTTACATTGGTGGTCAGTGGGAAGAATGTCAGTGGGAGTGGGAAGAATGTCCCTTACATTGGGGATCGGTGGGAAGAATGTCCCTTACATTGGGGGTCAGTGGGAAGAATGTCCCTTACATTGGGGGTCGTCAGTGGGAAGAATGTCCCTTACATTGGGGGTCGGTGGGAAGAATGTCCCTTACATTGGGGGTCGGTGGGAAGCATGTATGTCCCTTACATTGGGGTCGGTGGGAAGAATGTCCCTTACATTGGGGGTCAGTGGGAAGAATGTCCCTTACATTGGGGGTCAGAGGGAAGAATGTCCCTTACATTGGAAGATCACATTGGGGGTCGGTGGGAAGAATGCCCCTTACATTGGGGGTCAGTGGGAAGAATGTCCCTTACATTGGGGGTCAGTGGGAAGAATGTCCCTTACATTGGGGTTCAGTGGGAAGAATGTCCCTTACATTGGGGGTCAGTGGGAAGAATGTCCCTTACATTGGGGGTCAGTGGGAAGAATGCTCCTTACATTGGGGGGTCAGTGGGAAGAATGTCCCTTACATCAGTGGGGGAATGTCCCTTCATGGGGGGTCAGTGGGAAGAATGTCCCTTACATTGGGGGTCAGTGGGAAGAATGTCCCTTACATTGGGGGTCAGTGGGAAGAATGTCCCTTACATTGGGGGTCAGTGGGAAGAATGTCCCTTACATTGGGGGTCCCCTTACATTGGGGTCAGTGGGAAGAATGTCCCTTACATTGGGGATCAGTGGGAATGTCCCTTAATGTGGGAAGAATGTCCCTTACATTGGGGGTCAGTGGGAAGAATGTCCCTTACATTGGTGATCAGTGGGAAGAATGTCCCTTACATTAGGGGTCAGTGGGAAGGATGTCCCTTACATTGGGGGGTCAGTGGGAAGGAATGTCCCTTACATTGGAGGTCAGTGGGAAGGATGTTCCTTACATTGGGGTCAGTGGGAAGGATGTCCCTTACATTGGGGGTCAGTGGGAAGAATGTTCCTTACATTGGGGTCAGTGGGAAGAATGTCCCTTACATTGGAGGTCAGTGGGAAGAATGTCCCTTACATTGGTTTTCAGTGGGAATAATGTCCCTTTAGATTAGTGGACAGGGGGGAAGAAACTAAAAAGATCATTGATGTGTCATACTGTCTTCTTTTCCAAGTGGCGTTGGCCCCAGAATTATACAGGCACCATGAGATGGGAGGTCAATCACCACCTCTCAAGGAACCCTTGGGCACCTCTGGAGGAATCCTAGGATTCGCTGAACCCTGGTCAAGAACAGCTGATCTAGAGAGTACACTATATGGCTAAAAGTATAGGGACATCTGAAAATCACACTAAGGCCAAATGTTTGTGGACCTCCAAATGATGGAGCTCAGGTGTCTCGGTAAAGGGTCTCGGTTATACTTCATCATACAAAGACATTTGGTAGCAGTTTGTTGAAGACCCTTTTCTGTTCCACCAATGACTGTTCCCTGTGTACAGCTCCATGCAGACATGGATGACCAGTTTGGTGTGGAGGAACTCGAGTCTCCTACACCTGACCTCAACCCTACTGAGCACCATTGGGATGAATTGGAATGCTGATGGTGAGCTGGGTCTTCTCATCCAACATCAGTACCTGACTTCACAAATGGGCCACAAATTCCCACAGACACCCTCTAAATCTTCGCAGAAAGTCTTCCCAGAATAGTGGAGGATGTTATAGCTACGAAGGGGGGCAACTCCATACTAATGCCCATGGTTTTGGAATGGGATATCCCACAAGCTCATATAGGTGTGATGGTCATGGTTCATTACTGTAACCGTTTCCAATTTCTAAATCACTCGACCATTTGTATTGTCAATACTTCCTCCTCCTCCCTCATATTCCTTTTGGCCCACCGCTACAAAAGGCTGCTTTACTGGCCAATAGGAATGAGTAGGAAGCAACAGGAAAGCTTTGTCTTCGGGAAGTACCGGAGCTTTTTCCAGTTAGGATTTCCAGATATATAACTAGAGAAAACAAGAGAGAGGGCACCCCGGCCTAACGCATTGTTCTAATAACTTACAAACGTTCATCCAGACGCAGTTCATCAAAATGGCGGCTCTCTCTGCTACACATGCTCCTCAGCTTAGAGAGACATCTCCCGGATCCAACTATCTTACGAGTTTTGAGAGTTAATGCCTTCTTCCTCAGAGCCAAAACCTGAGGTCTAACACTGGAAACGCGTACACAAAGTGGATCCAGGTGATGCCCCCCTTAGACTTCGAAGTCCTAATATGGCCCCCCTTTCAGACCTCAAAATCCTAATATGGCCCCCCTTTCAGACCTCGAAGTCCTAATATGCCCCCCTCAGACCTCGAAGTCTTAATATGGCCCCTCTCAGACCTCAAAGTTCTAATATGGCCCCTCTCAGACCTCGACGCCCTAATATGGCCCCTCTCAGACCTCAAAGTCCTAATATGGCCCCTCTCAGACCTAGAAGTCCTAATATGCCTCCTCTCAGACCACGAAGTCTTAATATGGCCCCTCTCAGACCTCAAAGTCCTAATATGGCCCCTCTCAGACCTAGAAGTCCTAATATGGCCCCCCTCAGACCTCAAAGTCCTAATATGGCCCCCCTCAGACCTCAAAGTCCTAATATGGCCCCTCTCAGAACTAAAAGTCCTAATATGGCCCCTCTCAGACCTAGAAGTCCTAATATGGCCCCTCTCAGACCTCAAAGTCCTAATATGGCCCCTCTCAGACCACGAAGTCTTAATATGGCCCCTCTCAGACCTCAAAGTTCTAATATGGCTCACCCACAGGAATGAATGTGATGCGGCTCACATGTGTATTATGGGAGGTGCTCAGGGTGGGGGGGGGGAGTGGGATGTGATATATTATATTCAGCACACAGATACTTTCCCGTATCCAAGGAAAGAGTAATTGCTGAGTGTTGGCGGTCAGTCATATATGGAGGATTGTGGAATCACCAAGAAGATCAGGACGCCAATCTAGATGAATGTAAGGAAAACATGGCGTCTTTTCTACGAGTATAATGACAGGAAAATACACATCGCCAAATGACATTAATGTAGTAGCGAGTGTTCTGGACGGACAGATCCTTCAAGGAGGTGAATGATGAACGTGTGACGCGATGACGTGTGTCAGCTGCTAGCGGCATTCAATGATAATATCAGACACAGCGACCATGGCGAGGCGCAGTCCCAGAATTCCCCGCAGCTCCACTACGGGCCAACAGCCAGAAGAGAATGCAGAGAGAGGATCCAGACGTGTGTAGGACGAAAACATTTGTCTCGTTTCGATTCGATTCGTTATTTCAATAGTTTCATCAAGATAAATTTGCTTGGTTTCAATTCGTTTATTCATTTTCAAATTCGACCGAATTGAAGAGTATGAAATTGCAGACGTTTAATAACGTGTTCATGCTGACCGCGCTGCAATAATTAGTGACTTCTGCCCGGAGCGCATCCTTAATGAAATGTATCATGGCCGACTATACCATCGTTATAAATTAATTCAATGCAATATTTTTTTTAGCATTTGAGATAATTAGACAATAATTAAGGAGGATAAAATTCCCAACACATAAAGGCAAGACGAGAACACTGATCTGCACAGCGGTCGTTACAACATACTGCCGATATTTGTGTGACTTTATACATTTAATTATCAGCTAATGATGTGGATGAAACAAAGATGGGCTTAATGACCTGGAAAATGACGGCCAGTTAGACGCTCTACACACAAGGAGCCAAGGATGGAAAACGAGCCGCCGTGGCCAAAGCGTCTACAGAGAACCCACCGCTGATTTCCAGAGAAAGTACATCAACCAAGGAAGGAAAACGAGCCGCCACGGCCAAAGCGTCTACAGAGAACCCACCGCTGATTTCCAGAGAAAGTACATCAACCAAGGAAGGAAAACGAGCCGCCGCGGCCAAAGCGTCTACAGAGAACCCACCGCTGATTTCCAGAGTACATCAAAAGTACATCAACCAAGGAAGGAAAACAAGCCGCCGCGGCCAGAACGTCTACTGAGAACCCACCGCTGATTTCCAGAGAAGGTACATCAACCAAGGAATTTCGGCAGAGAAAGAACCCATCTGACCAAGAGAAGGTAATCAACCAAGAAAATGAGCCCTGCGGCCAGACGTCTACTGAGAACCCACCACTGATTTCCAGAGAAGGTACATCAACCAAGGAAGGAAAATGAGCCCCTGCGGCCAGAGAGTCTACTGAGTGAGAACCCACCACTGATTTCCAGAGACAGTACATCAACCAAGGAAGGAAAACGAGCCCCGCGGCCAGACGTCTACTGAGAACCCACCACTGATTTCCAGAGAAGGTACATCAACCAAGGAAGGAAAATGAGCCCCTGCGGCCAGACCGTCTACTGAGAACCCACGCTGATTTCCAGAGAAAGTACATCAACCAAGGAAGGAAAATGAGCCCCTGCGGCCAGAGCGTCTACTGAGTGAGAGCACCTACTGAAAAACCCACCGCTGATTTCCAGAGAATGTACATCAACCAAGGAAGGAAATGAGCCGCCACGGCCAGACGTCTACTGAGAACCCACCACTGATTTCCAGAGAAGTACATCAACCAAGGAAGGAAAACGAGCCATCGGCCAGAGCGACTACTGAGAACCCACCTGATTTCCAGAGAAAGTACATCAATCAAGGAAGGAAAAAGCTGCTGCGGCCGGAGCCCCTGAGAACCCACCACTGATTTCCAGAGAAAGTCTCAACTGAAGTGAGAACCCACCACTGATTTCCAGAGAAGTACATCAACCAAGGAAGGAAAATGAGCCCCTGCGGCCAGAGCGTCTACTGAGTGAGAACCCACCGCTGATTTCCAGAGACAGTACATCAACCAAGGAAGGAAAATGAGCCCCATGGCCAGAGCGTCTACTGAGTGAGAACCCACCACTGATTTCCAGAGACATGTACATCAACCAAGGAAGGAAAATGAGCCCACGGCCAGAGCGTCTACTGAAAACCCACCGCTGATTTCCAGAGAATGTACATCATCAAGGAAGGAACATGAGCCGCCACGGCCAGAGCACCTACTGAAAACCCACCGTTGATTTCCAGATAAAGTACATCAACCAAGGAAGGAAAATGAGCCATCATGGCCAGAGGACGTACTGAGAACCCACCTGATTTCCAGAGAAAGTACATCAATCAAGGAAGGAAAATGAGCTGCTGCGGCCGGAGCGTCTACTGAGAACCCACCACTGATTTCCAGAGAAAGTACATCAACCAAGGAAGGAAAACGAGCCGTCATGGCCGGGAGCACCTACTGAGAACCCACCGCTGATTTCCAGACAAGGTACATCAATTAAGGAAGGAAAACGAGCCACCGCAGCCGGAGTGTCTACTGAGAACCCACCGCTGATTTCCAGAAAAAATACATCTTGTGACTGAGCTGTACCGAGAGGCCCATATGTGGTGTCACCTCACCTATGCAGGAGAATGTGGCAGTGCCCCTGGAAGAAAGTTCCCTGACCCCCAGGCTGTGTCGATGGGCTAATGTTTGCCTACAGCAGGTTTTGCATTTCCATATGAATCTACTAGTCTACTTACTCCTGAGTTGTGACGCCATGCACTCTGTGCATTATGTACTCCTAACCCTGCACTCCATGCATTCCTTACTCCTGACTCCTGCACTCCATGCATTGCTTACTCCTGACCCCTGCACTCCATACATTGCTTACTCCAGATCCCTGCACTCCACACATTGCTTACTCCTGACTCCTGCACTTTATGCACTTCTTACTTCTGACTCCTGCACTTTACATGCATTGCTTACTCCTGACCCCTGCACTCTATGAATTATTTACTCCTGACTCCTGCACTCCATGCATTGCCTACTCCTTTACCGCTGCACTCCATGCATTGCTTACTCCTGATCCCTGCACTCTATAAATTATTTACTCCTGACTCCTGCACTCCATGCATTGCCTACTCTCCTGACCGCTGCACTCTATGCATTGCTTACTCTAGATCCTTTCACTCTATGCATTGCTTACTCCTGACCCCTGCACTCT